GCTGCAATCTTTGGCTATGTCTTGGGCTACTCAAATATTTTACGTTTTTGATACTAAATTAACTTCTGAAGTATAATTTTTTATTGTTTTTATATTTTTCAATATATTTATTTTGTTTGTACAAAATAAAAAATTAATTTTTAACGATACAATAGTCTTCGTTAGGCTTAACATCGACGAAAATTCAACGCGAAGCGACACTCAACGGAGAAAAATTTCAACACGGGATAAATTAATATATTTTTTCGTGCATAATTGGTTATCCGAACAATCCCAGTCCCCAATTGATTCGGATAAACGACGCTCTACTGTAATATAAAACGCTTTAATGCAGCTTTTATGAAATCACTTCAACAGTGAAAGAACAATAATGCTCGCTTGTTAAGTCTATATTGTTGCTGATTAAAGAATCGCAATGTTTCCAATTTTCTATATCTTCCACGAAAATATCACTGTCAATACCAAATAATTTTTTTTTATTGGCATCGCGTTTCTTTATTCGCGGCCTTAGACGAAATAGGGAAGGTATTTAAATAAATTACTGTAAATAAGTGTCTTATAGGCACACGCCCATAAGACTTACTTAAACGATCCAACTGACCAAAAATTAACCTCGACCGGACTAAGTGATTTCTTATCTCGTTATTCTTGTTCCTCGATAATAATTTACTTCGAATTATCTTTACGGTATCGAAATCCCCGATACGAATAACACATTTCCATTCTTACCCAAAAGATGGCGCCAGAAGCGCACGGTGGCGCGAGATGTAATAGAACCGTCGGCGTTAAAAGGAAGATCCACGGGAAGAAAACATTGGCAGCGTGGTTTTGTGCTTGGAAAAGAAAAGTAGAGACGAGTTCGACGGAAACGATTTTATTCCGATAGAAATTGGGGCGGGCGGGCCGTTGCGCCCGGTCCCGCGGATACCAGTCGATACGACCGTACAATCTATACAAGCTACGCGTCCGCGGCAGAAATCGTGACAAAAATATGTACACTCTATATACAGGAGAAGAGGAGCGGCGCCTCGGGCGGGAGGCCGCCGAAAGAGGAGAGTCCGGGAAGAAGGGCGCAGACTCGGTCACCTGGGCGGACGGGCCAGCAGTACCTCCAGCCAACAGGGACAGGAGGTGACGAACTGGCGCGAATATTTGGGTCCCCAGCCCTTGGCAAAGCTGACTCTGACGGAGTTGGGGTCGACGGGACCGTCCGAACGTTCGGCCGGACCGGCGGCCAGGCGGGCCCTGCGATACTCGGATTTGCGGTAATCGAAGATCTCGATGGAGTATCCGGGCGGCACCTTGTAGACGGTGGGAGCGCCCGCCTCGGGCCGCTCGAGGGTGGGCGAGTTGACGAAGACCGGATGGTCGGAGCGGTTGTATAGCCAGACGCTGTCCGCCTCCCTGGAGAGGCTGACGCCCGGTCCTATCTTGTCTCTGGTCCTCAGCACGCTCTCGTTGCGAGTGGAGTGGAGTCCGGCCAGCGTGGCCAGGCACAGGCCGTCACCGTGAGGCAGTTCGGAAAAGACGTCCACCCGGTCGCCGCTGACCGGAAACAATCGACCCACTCTAGTTCGTAACTCCCAGTAGGCCACGCTACACCAGGCGTCGGAGGCTCCGTTCTCACCTATCGAAGGAAAAAGAAAATTTCGTCACAAGTGTCTCCGGATCGAGCGCAACTCCGACACTCCGCCTCCTCCCGATGGCGACGGAGCGGCGCGACTGCGCTTTTGTTTTTGTCCGTTACGTACGCGACGCGATAAATAACGACGGAGCGGACGGTCGAGGTCGCCGAAGAGACGATCGATAACGGAAACACCCTCCGGATACGGGAGAGGCTAGACCGAAATATCTCCGCCGCGCGCTTCCCGACGGGCGGGGCGGAGCCGAGACCCTGAGGATTCCGGGGAACGACTCTCCGAGTCCCCTTCTTCCGATTGGCATCTCGACTGGCTCGTCCTTCCGGCGACCGGACCGGAAGTCGTCGGAGGATCCCTCTGGGGGCAGAGACTTACCGAGAAGACGGTAGGGGAAATAAAGGTACTGACCTGTGGTTGGGTAACTAGGAGGGTGGGAGCCTGGGTCCTCGGCGTCGAACGTCCTTCCCTCGAAGTAAACGAATGCGTCGGCGGCGGCCGTCGACGAAGGTAGCCCGGCAACTGGCGTCATCCGTTCCGCTTCGGACTCCGCTTCTCGGGCGTGTCTTGTGTAGGGAGGAGGCGGCGATTCTGTAAACAAAAATTCGGTTAAACCAGAAAACTTTGTCCAAATTTCTTCGTTACTTCCACACGTAAAACCTCAAACGGTCAAAAAATTCTGTTTCTGCAGCACAAAATATGGTTCAGAGTTTTCGTCGTACTCGTTTTTTGTAATATACGTAAACACAAAATAAACATTTCTTCAACGGGGAACTCTTTCCCAATTTTTCGTAAATACCAGAGGAATTTCTAGGCCAAAGAACCGTGTCCAACGGAATCTGGTAACCAATTCTATTGATCAAAGAAGTAACTTAGAATGGTTAATAGAGTCGATCTAATAATTAAACGCGTTTGAGGAATTTATTTACATTAAAACCCTGGAATTTCGAAGGTAACGAATTCGAAAATTAACAATGTAAATATAAAACAGCGTCAAATTTACCAACAATTAGCGAAAGATGCTATAAACAAATAAAACTTGTAAGTAACGCTCGAGCACAGGATACGAAAATCATCTGGCTTGGAGAGACCCATTGGATATCTTTCGCTCATTACGTGTTCAAAACGCGGTAATCGAGCGGCGCACAAAAATTCGACCCGGTGCCTTCACCATAGTTTCCTTAATATAAATGTAATTATACATAAAGGCGTGAAAACCACAATTATTTTCATACAATTTCATTAATCATTTGAGCTCCGAGTTTCGCATTACACTTATACTGCATATGAATAAAGGAAAAGAGCGTAAAACAAGAAATTTTTAACCGACAGACATTTTTTCTATTTACCGACAGCGTTTATTTTTAAGTGAAGCAACTCTGAATATTTTCTGAACTTGTGGTAAAACAATAGGTTAAAGCGGTTACTAAACTGATGTTTTTATTCGATACATATATAAGGAGGCCGGTCTTAACTAAAGTAGGCAATTCGAAGGACTACTATCGTATTGTTCGATCGAAATAGTTTTTCCTTTTGTCAACTCGGCTTCCATCGGTCGAAACTTTTCATTCGTTTTCCTCCTCCCGTTTTACCTGACATATTTACGCGACCGCAACTTCTTGTTATCCGGCCGAGAATCAGTCATTTACCACACTACATTTCTCTCCAATCTCGCCCCACTCTTCCAAATAGAACTACGCTTGAAAACATAACTGTAGACAAATTTAGCATCGTCTTAGTTAAATCGGCGTTTACTTTGTCGGCCACGATTTATCGTTTAATATCGGAAGTGTCTTGTGTAACGCTTACTTTTTCCGACCGATATTCGTATTAATTTGTCTCGTTCCATTTTTACTGGTATCTGGCTTTCGATCGGCCAAAAACTTGAAACCGGTAGAACTAGTTCGTCTTTAATTTCGGTCCTCTGGCCGCGGCACCGACTGACGCCCCTATTTTACAGTAACTCGCCTTAACTTTACACTCGATTTCTTTTTTTTTCGTTTAAATATCGTCGCATATGCCGCCAAAACATCTAAAACGCTAGAAAAAACTTCAAAATACAAAACTGGAAAATTTCTTCGAGTATCGCCCGTTCTGTAACATACAACTAACTTCCCGTTTCGGCCGACAAAAATCACTTTATTTAGGAACCGGCAAACCTAACGATCGCGTGTTTTTTAAAGTATTTTCGGTAAACAATCATCTCGCATATTGAATCATTTTCGTTATAATGAAAACATTGGATTATGCAAATAAATCCAAGCGAAATAATTTTTAAAACCAAGTCTCATAGAGATAGAGGGGAGGAAAAAAAAGAGAGATTACAGATACTGGGAACATAAATGCGAGATTATCGAGACATCATATGACTTTACGTTAATTAAACGCTTTCTTGCTGCGTAAACCGCGGATATAAAACTTTTAATAACAGAGTCTTTCTCGGCACGTTATTAAATAATAAAAATAGCTTAATTAAAAACGGAAAATACGAGTATATGTATAACGAATATCTTATACCATGTAAAATACTTGTATAACGTATCAAACCGCTACTAGTTTTTCCAACTATCCTATACCACAAATGAACATCTTATTTGTCGTGTCACAAAGAACTGGACGGAATTAAGGCGTTGTGTTATAAGGCAATTACTTAACATTAAAAATTTACACAACAAAAATAAAAAGTATGCATATAAACGTTTACTTTATCCATTTAATAATGATGTTATTCGGATTTTCCGATAGATTATAGATAGTTATTTAGAAGATCCAAATAACTATCGATACAGCTGTAAACATCATTATACAAGGAGAAACAGAATTTCGTTCTAAGAGATCACAGATAGGAGATTGCAATTTCCTCTCCCCCTTTTTACTGATATTGTCGAGTATGTAACTAACTAATCTTTAATCTTCAATTTATTAACAACATATTTTATATCTTCAAATTAACTGATAAATATTAAGCAACAATTCTTAATATTCATTCCAAAACTTTCAAAAAATTTTACATAATTGTAATAATAATTTTAAACTTCTCTTTATCAAAAGTAACTGCTACAAGTATTTAATTTAAATAAACATATTTATGTGGGAATATGATTAATTATTAAGATTTTGCTTCAGTAAAACAATGGCTTTATATATAAGCTATAGGAAAAAAAATGAGATTGGAAAAGTATACATTGTTTTTAATTGTAAAATAAAACTTACAAATATACATAAATAGCCAGACAGTACACATAATCAACAATGTATAATTACATTACTACTACTAATACTTTATTACTATTTTTTAAATGAAAACTTTCCTTACATGTCTAAGATTTACCTAGTAAAACAATAAATAAAATTCTATATAAACATAAGTGGATGAAAATTTCTGTTTGAGTAAATTGCTTTTAATTTTTAATTAATACCTAGCTGGAATGCTTTTTTAACTTTCACAACTACACCTTATCAAAATGGGATGATTTCTAATTGAATTTTGCAAAAACAAAAATCTGGTTACAGAATTTAAGATATCCTTAGTTTTGTAGATTGCAGATTTGAGCAGAATGTTTGTATTTATCAATTTTGATGGGGATTATTTGGAGAGTATAATAGTGTAACATATTGTCATTATATTTGTTAGAATAAATAACATTTCTATATAAAATTTCTGTAAATGCAATTACTTTTTTCATTTCTTTTTTTTTTTGTTGACAAATGATGTTCAACTAGAAAATATATATTTTGCAACTGTAAAATCCTATGTATTTAATCTATTCAAAATAATCTGGCCTAATTGTACTGAGTAGTCTATTTAGTCTTATTTTTTATTAAACAAAATTTGTTAAGGAGACATTAGTTTCATCCTTTTCAATTTGTTGCTACAAACTACAATCAAGTCCAAATGTATTTGTAATATTTGTTTGTTTTATAACTTTTTCTTTTAGATAAATATTTGTTTTGTTCAACAGATGTAATAAAACTTATTATTTTCAATACTCAGTGCACTTTAGGCAGTTCCATTGCTGGTTGCATGGCTGAGGCAATAAGGTGTCAGCCTACTACTCTGAAGACCTAAGACCTAAGACCAAATCTGGTTAAACAACCCCAAGAATTTTTTTATGGGTAGGCTGTCCTAGATACATCAGGCCCCATTCCTTACCACCCAGCTCTCCCATTGTAAGCCTGATAAAATTCGCAATGGACACAGAAAAAGGGCCCTTTTAGTGCCCCACAGGGCAGAAAGAGATATAAAACAAGTTCAATTTAAAATTTTTCCATTTTTCCTGTCTTACTTACTTTATAATTAACTTCATCTAAAATGAATTCCTAACAGGAATAAAATGAAAATTTGGATGATGTTTGAGATAATGTCTTCTAAACTGTAGAGTTATGTTGCATATTTTCAAATACAACTTGATATGTAGGGGTATACAATAAAGTCAAATGATGTTTTTATTTCAGCAATTATTTTAGCAAAAAATTATAGAAAGTAAATATATCTACAAGTATTAGATTTATGTATTAAAATGGTAGGCATATAACAATGCATGTGTTATAAAAGTGTTTAAAATTGTTTTAAATAAGATATTTTCTTATTTTACCCATAATTTTAAAACTTTTTTATAACACTAATAGCCTTTAATTACTAATTCACAAGGATTCACAATTTTCTTTGTTACTTTGACACATTATACATGGTTATGTTTTAACATATAGTCTGTTTTAAAGCTAGTTTGAAAGTAGTGCAGGTTGTGTGTTCTAGCAATTTTTTGCTGGTTATACGCAGGAAATTATGATATTTCAGTTAATGTTTCAAAAATAGTAACTGAATTTCCTTAGTTAATCTGATAATACTTTTATTGGAGGTTAAAACAGAACTATTTCCTTTAACAACAACAGATTGTTCTTGATCAGAACCAATCAAATTTGACACATTTAATACACTTAGACAAAAATTCAAGTCTCTGTAGTAGTATAGTATTTGATATTATGTCAATTCTTACAACAATAATAACATGCTATTTGATTTAAAGGTTTTGTTTTGTGCCTGTTTTGTTTTTAACTATATTATATTTTTCAATTTGTATTCTGATATCTGGAAAAGGCCTAGGTCCATGATATCTAATAAATTGAAATTACTGAAATAAACACATTATGCTGCATGATTCTGGTGATAAAAAGATTATTATTAATAAATAGTGTTGCCATCTTTTCAAAATTGCTGATCCGGACGGCAGGTGAGATTTGTTCAAACAGAAGTTCCTGATGCATGCGCAATGTCATTTTGCAATGCGAAGAATAATGTGCAGTGCATGCTGGTTCTACATCAGTTAGAGTTAGGAACTAGGGAGACTTGGGTAGGAGTAGGAGTAACCTAAGTAACTAAATTAAGAAAAAACAACTACAGATGACTTAGCTCTATTGGATATTGGAGACGTGTATGAATACGAGTCGTGCAAAAAAAAAAAAAAAAAAAGTCAACAGGTTGCGCACGACATTCCCGGACAAAATTGATTGTTCACCTGGACAGTGAGTCGATTCCCGGACTGTCCGGGTGAAAACCGGACAGGTGGTAACACTATTAATAAAGGAACATT